AGCCCTGACTGACATAAAAGTTGTTCTTCGGAATGAGAAGCAGGATCAAACAGGGAAGTTAACACAAAAGGTAAGAAAAATGGGTCCCTTTTATTCAAATCAAGTTAAGGCATAAAGTTGAGATCTGGGTTTATGTATAAAACCTTCTGAAAAAATGATGTACAAGAAGCATCAAAGGCATAGATATTGGAACATCTTCTGCCTAGAACAATGGGGACAAAAGGAGACTAATATAGTTTCTGTCATATGAAATTAGAAGATAAAGCAGCTCTGCAACCAGCTATGGAATAAGCTTATAATGTTTGATCCTGAAACAAATACATGAAGAAAGAAGCAATCTGTTGAGGAGTTGGAGACAAAAAATACTACGTCTAATCTATCAACTCTTGAAGGTAGCCCAACATGACTAATAGACCGTCAAGAAAGACTGTTGACAACAGTAGTCTAAAATACAAACCACTAGAAGAGAATCCAGTTTTTGGACAAAGAACCTAACAACAAGCAGCCATGAAGCCACAGAAATCAAACGACAGTGTGAAAAATGGATGTTTCCTCATGAGAAAGCTAAAGTATTGGAAACAAAGGCTGAGCCAAAGTGATGAAATGTGAAGAATCCAACTGATCTTGGCAAGTAAATGAGTAAGAAGGTGGTGAAAAGTGGTTATTCCAGGAATGCCTCAAAGCATTCTTGGGAGATGAGTGAATGGAGCTGACAATTCTGTGAAAGTCTGCCACAATGTTCATTACACTGGGAACATGACAGGCTTAAAAGTGGAATATGTTGAGAATGAGACCAAAGAAATAAAAAACTGCTGCATAAAAAGGCTCCAAGAATAAATACCACTCTGATTTTTAAGGTAAATCACCAATTTAGAATTGTCTGTATCAAAGAACACAGAATGGTGGTGTAGGAAGGGCAGAAACTCAAAACAAGCACATTTGTAATATAATGATGTAAGCTGTTGGTTCTTAAGAATTCTATGAACCAAAGCAATGTTGATTTCCCCACACAGCACCCCAACTTATGAAAGGTACATCTGTACAAGGATTAAACTGTATAGGAAAAGGGAAAAAAGGGAGACCCAGATGTTATAAGCTCTTGATTCAGGAAAAATTGGAGAAACTCAAAAGTGATGTGAGAAACATTTATGCTGCATGACAACAGGTCTGAAGTCAGATACCAGAGAGAAGCAAAGTCATAATAGAGAGCACACTCTAAGAGAATGACATTTTGAAAAACATAGCCATTGTTGCCAGAGCAGAAAGGATATTTTTAACAGTAGGAATCAAGAACAAAAAAGTATAAACACAACATCATGAGAAACAGCTGTAGTGTTTCCAAATACCATGTTAGTACTAACTGAAACTTGGATCTGAGGATGTAGCTAACTGGGCAGTCAAATGAGTGTTTTGAAGAGAATGAGTGGATGAATGGGTCAGAATAATCAAATTGTCCACACAGAAATGAAACTTAATGTCAAGTAAATGAAGAAGACTAGCAAACACTTCGTTATTTGACAGAAAATGTAAGAAACCAAGGTCAAGCTCAAGGAAAGGGAACTGGTAAACTACCTTCTGGTGACAAAAAAGAAAATGATTGGATGATGGAAGAACAGGAATAAGCAGATAATCATCATCTATCTTTCTCATCTAATGGTCTCAAATAATCAATCAATTATTACAAATGTATATTTTCCATTTTGAAATGAGGTGTCTTCAAGAAACAAATGAGTTTAGAAAAGTTTCCAATCCCCCAATTTATTGGGAACTACATAGAAATGGGAGTAAAACCCAAGAGAGGCTATTTCAACTGCCCCTTTCTTAAGATGATCTGAAACTTCCTGATACAGAAAATGTAAGCAAACTGTATCAGAAGGAAAAGACAATGGTTGAACAGAAAGAATAGGAGATGAAACTGAAGGTAAAGACCAGACTGAAGGATCTGTTGAATCCATGAATCTTGAAGCCAAGGGTTCCACAGATGTACAATTAGCCTGAGATGATCCCCAAGAGGTCCCAATGGTGAAACTGTCTGGAATAGAAGTGTGTCAATGAGTTGGTTCAATATTTGATTATAAAGGAGGGTCAAATGAATGAGTAGAGGTAACAGATATTGACTGAGAATTCAAATACAAATGAAAAGCAGGAGGATGAACTGTATTTTCTCAAGGAAGAACAACCATAAGATAGTCAAAAGGCTAGAATCTTAATCAGCTTCAGCTCACTGCTTCTCATAAACAGGAAACAAGTTCAGGTGAAACTCCTCTAATATAACACAATTTAGAAAAGAAACTCTTCCTAGATCAGTAAAAAGAAATAAATTATAATATACAGAAATCTCACGATGAGTCAAGGTAAAAGACCACATGAAAGATCTCTCTAATATTCAATCTGAAAGTCAAGAACTTGAAAAAAAAGATACATAGAAGAAGATGGCTCCACTAAAAGCCCCTTGCACGATGAATGTGAGGAACCTGAAGACTAGGAACATCTTGTCATATATTAATAGTATCTGCAATAACCAATGTACCATGAGCAAGTGGTAGAAATAGAGATTCTAGTTCTGAATCCTCTAACACGACACTAGCATTGTCACGTGCAACAGAAATAAGTTTAAGATTTCACATAGAACATACATGAGAGCAGCAAAAGCCTTGCCAAGTTTAGTGCTAGCTGACAAATTCTGTTCTTCACATACTGAAAGCAAACACACCTGAGCAAAAGAATGATCTTCTTAAAGAATATGAGAATAGGGTGAGAATGCCACACTTGAGCATCCACATGTTTGTGAAACCTATCAAGGTTACCAGCAGAAAATTTGATATCTTACTACATACTAGAGTAAAACCTTCAAAGAAGTAAAAGAATTCTCAACATTTGTATACGCATTAGTATCAAAATGTGTATTACCTTCAGAATTCCTAAAGAACCTCATAATACAACTGACAAAAAAGAAAATCTGGCTTTTGTTGGGAAAGTAGGGTTTGTGTATGTTCTCCTGATGTAAGTTTCAGATGGAAGTTGGAGAGTGGAGAAATATGAGTAAGTTGATGTATGCTCTGCACAGCAAGATTATTCAAAATTCGAAGTCACATGGTTGTTGACAGCATGAAAACTACTCAACAAGAAAAAAAAGCTTTGTTTCAGATGTTTGTCTACCCAATTTGAATAGCTGGTTTACCTTATCATTGCTTCATAAGTATTTTTCTTTTTTGACAAAAGAATTCAAATGCTATAAAACCTCCAATCTTCAATTGATCAATGCAAACAATACTTTCCAGTGTTATGCATGAGTAAAATCAAGCCAAAAATCAAAAGATTCTTTGCATTCACTTTTTCCTAAATGATGTCAATGATTGACCTAAGAAGATGACTTTGACAACTAGCTATCAGATCCACCACCCTAAGTATGCAGTTTCCAGAAAAACGTAATTCACCAAGTCTTGAATTACTTTAATTAACTGCAATTTATGTTCAAACTCTGTTTTAACACCTATTGTGTGGGTAAATTGGGTAACATTTTGTACTGGAGTAGGATCATCAATAGTCACTTTTAGAATTCAAATGCAGAAATGATACTAAATAAAAGTACTGATGATATGGATTTTAGAGCAAAATTTTAAATATAGATGAAGATATGGCTATTTAAAGGTCTATGTATCAATGAATATTAGCTATATATTAGTAATGTCAGATAACTAGCACTACAATCATAAACAGCCTCATTCAGAACGTATTTACAAGAGACTGTATCACGCTAAAACATCAAGTAGTCTACTGGATTTTGATATTGATTTTACACAAAAGGAAAACTGTCATTTTGTAGTGAAACACATGGAGTTAATAATATACTTTACTGAAGCAGAAGTTTTAACTGTACTTCAATTAATTATATTTTTCTTTAACTTGTTACTGGATATGATTTCTTTGGTTTCACTGTTATCTTTTACAATTTATTTTCCCAGATATTAAATAACAATTAGTCTGCATCATTGATTAGGATAACAGAGCGTGTTTTCTTTAATACTGATATGCTGAGGGTAATTATATGACTTGCTTTATCAACAGAAATAAAGTATTCAGTTCCACATGATTTTTGACTTGGTAAATTTCTCATCAAGGAATCATCTATCTGATATCATATACATTTTTACATTCTTTCAACTGTCATCATCACTATCTTCAATTAAGACCAAAATGTCAACATCAATAAAATCCACATTACCATTTTCATCATGTAAAACTTCAACACTGATACTCAGAATATTCTCATTGTAATTTAGATGTGGTAATTTTCTTCTACAGTTTTTTGCATTATTAGTACTTGCCCATACATTTTTTGGCTGCTTATCAGGTAGTATTAAAAATGTATGTATGTATCAATCCAGGTTGAATTTACAATTCCAAGGTGTATAATTACCATTTAGAATTTAGCCAAATATTACCAGGAAAAACAAGTATGACCAGAATGACAATCTCTAAGTATAAAAAGCAAATAAAGTTATGAACTTTTTCTGTATATATTCTACTTGACCTAAAATCAACAAGTCAAAAATGATTTTAAGCAATTTTTTCCATTTTGAATCAGATAATTCAGAATATGGCCTCTTTAAAGTAACAATTTGTTGATGTTATCAGTCACTTGCATAAAAATCTTCTCCATTTTTGTTTAATGCAGCAAACAATATTATACCATTCAAAACCAATAACTACAGATGGGTTAAATAAAGTTTTATATGTGCACCATGCTGCCATTTATGAATCACATAGGGTATATATTTAGTCACAAGTTATTTTTTTTTTTCATTTATATTATATATATATATATTTCCTGTTGCTGATGGACAGAGTGTAGAATGATTTTCATCAGAAACCTGGTGTGGAACAATGTATTAACCAGTATAACAGTTAATCATAAACAATGTATTAAGTGATAAAACTTGTATTATTTAGAAATATTTGCACCTTTTATATTTAGGATTTTTATTCCTTAAACTCACCCGTTGGTAATTCTGCTCTCTAGAGATTTGCTCAACCTGGTCAAGTAACTGACGAACTCTCAACTGCAACTCTGTTAACTTTTCTTTTTGTGCAACATTCCTATAATCTATAGCATGCTCACCAACCTGAATATCCAGATGAACTCTCTAAACAGAAAGAAAACACACATCAGATATGTCCAAATGCACTGTATCTTCAAAATGTTACAATGACAGACTTACTGTAACTAAACAAACACACCCCTATAAAAATCAATGTAGTAAATAAGTTCTTTAAGTAGCCATGCCCTTAAGAGAATTTTCAACTAAAATGCTATTTACATTTGGAAAGAATAAATCAGAAGGTGTTCTCTGTACTTTATTTCGACATAACAATTTAGGCACTTAAGTTTACCTCTGTAACTATTAAATAATTAAAAGTTATCATTTTTCTAAACTGAAAATGTATTTCCAAACATACTTACCTCCACTGACACTAATAGCTATTTCTCAATCTTCATCTTTGCCATCTAACATTGTGTTCGCTTGCTCCAGTCTTTATATACCCCACTCGACTGCCCTCAGCAATATCTAATGCATAACCTTACACCAGCCCTTACACTCCCTCTATGCATGTAAGCACTGTATGCAGACAATAAAATCACTTTTTAGAGAATTACCTCATTCCGGTCACTAACAAAGGCTCTTAGTGGGGAGGAAGACAGGGAGAGTGTCAGCAGAGGTAA